ATAGATAGATAGATAGATAGATAGATAGATAGATAGATAGATAGATATGTAGAGACAGGGGGAAGATGATAGAGATAGAGAGAGATGATAGAGAGAGAGATGGTAGATAGATAGAGTTAGATGATAGATAGATAGATGAGAGAGAGAGAGAGAGAGAGATGGATTGATAGATGGATAGATATAGATACCACAGAGAGAGAGATGGGGGGGGATAGGGAGAGAATGAGAATAACTTTATTGTCACTTTGAATGTACACTATCTATATACATAAAAGCGAAATATCCCTCACGCATCATCACAAAATCTCCAGAACCGTAAAGTCTACAAACTTGAAATTTGGCCTGTAGGTTCCTCTTGGCTTCTAGCTGCTAACTAAGAAAGGATGTTTCCAAATGACCATCAGAGCAATAGTATTTCGTGACCCTGGGACACTGTGACCGTCATAAATAGGAGTCAGTTGCCAAGCATCTGAATTTTAATAAGGATGCTGCAACGGTCATAAGTGTGAAAAACGGTCATTGGTCCCTTTTTTTCAGTGCTGTTGTAACTTCGAATGGTTGCTAAGTAAACCATTGTAAATCAAGGACTAGCTATACTGCCAGACCACGCACGATGCCAGGGGCCACCGAAATTTGATCCTGGTCAGCTCTTTTTGGAACAAGCCTCCACCTGGGATGATGACTTGACTGCAATCTTCCAAAACAAACCAAGTTAGACACCTAAACCATCATTCAAACCTACCTCCTTGCATCCTGGATTATCCAAGAGCTCTATGTTGCTGGCGTGTAGAGGTTGCCCTGCATTAACCGGCATCAGGACAACTTTATCCCCGACAAGAATCTGAAGTTATAAAAAGAGTCACATGTTATCATTTGATTTTTTAAATTATAGATCAATAGACAGATAAACAGATATATCCCTTTATATCTGCTGCTGTTATTTCTATAATTTGGATTCTATCTCGTATCCTGGATTCTTACTCTGAATATAATGGATGTCCAGTAAAAAAATTGAGGTTTTTGGATTACAACTGATTGCAGCTTGGAACCAACCTGTGTATTTTCACTGTTGGGATTTTAAGGGTCCCTGCTTCTCATCCCTGAACATATATTAACATCATTCCATAAATTTATCTAGAGAGTTCCCCCCCCCCCCCCCATCCCTCCCAGACGCCCCACAAAGCGGGGGAGGAGGAGGAGGAGGAGGAGGAGGAGGATTGTGGGATCCTTGGTGCTCTCTGAGCTTGGTTATTTTCTTGCAGATGTTTCATGACCCAACTAGGGAACATAATCAATGTCAAAAAGGTGTGAGGTTTGTGGAATGGAGAATGAAAAAGGGAAGAGGAGGAGGAGGAGGAGGAGGAGGAGGAGGAGGAGGAGGAGGAGGAGGAGGAGGAGGAGGAGGAGGAGGAGGAGGAGGAGGAGGAAAACTGTAAAGATCTTGGTGCTCTCTGAGTTTGACTGTTTTTTTGCAGACGTTTCATTACCAAACTAGGCAACATCATCAGTGCTAGAATGGAGTGAGTTTGCTCTGTTTATATCCAAGTGGCGTGCCCTGTCAGTGTAGGTAGGAGCATTCTTGGTTTTCCTTATCAAGGGTATTGTTTGTTGCTTGATTAGCCTAGAATTAATCCTGATTATCATCTTGACTAATTTTGATGTTGATTGCTGGTGAGGTGGTGTTTCAGTCTTTTATTTTTCCTTCTTAGTTTTCTCTTTCCAGTGGGATGTAAATGTTGCTCATGTGCCTGTGGATGGCTGTTCTGTCTAATGCCAGGAATTCTGTAGCATTTATGGACTTAGCTTGATCTACAAACAATCGAGCTCAAAGAGAGCAAGGACTCTGCATACCATACATTTTCTGTCTCTTTCCAACGGGGTGTAAATGTTGCTCATGTGCCTGTTGATGGCTGTTGTGTCCAATGCCAGGCTTCAAGGAATTCTGCAGCATTTATGGACTTAGCTTGATCTACAAACAACCGAGCCCAAAGAGCATCAAGGACTCCGCATACCATACATTTTCCAACTCGTGCAATTCCCGACGCATTTTCTTGAAACAGAAAAAGTTAAGAGACTCGAGAGAAATGGCCAAGCATGCATGCATGGGCAGCTTGTGACAAGGGCAAAGTTACAAGTGCACCAAGCACCCATAACAGAGCACTGAAAAAATGTGACGCCGTTCCTTGTAATTCAGCATAGTGTGCTCCAAAACTTCTGAGAAACAAAAGTTTTCACGGCAGAATTTACCAACATGTTTAAAGTTTAAATACATAATTTGTGGTTTGTGATCCATTAACTGGCAAGTAACCAAAACGAATGACAGGGTGGATTTGATTTAAATCAAATCAATTTAAATCACGATTTAAATCACTAGTAAAAAGGCTTGATTTAAAACAACTCGATTTAAATCGTAGTTTTTAAAAAGCAACTCTCATGCCTGCTGTGAAACTGTGTGAATGCATCAGTGCAGTGTGCATTTTATCTCAGCTTGCAGAGCTTGGATTCACTGAATGAGTTTACTCAAAAATGTAAATATTGCAGAATCTACAGCCTCATGCTACATAACTAAGCTCTGTTTCATGCTGAATAAACTAAATTATTAATATGGCTTAAATAGAAAACAGATAGATTTGGCAGATCTAAAAAAAATCTTTAGATAGATTTTTATTCCAAAAGCATTTTATTAAAATAAATTCGATAACAATGAAAAAATCCGATATAAATTTATTTTTTTATTTTAAAAAAAACACATTGATTTTTATCCACCCTGATGCATGATAGGTATTCTGTGGATTTTTCTCTATTTTTTATTTTTTGTGGCAGATTGGAAAGTGGAACAATCACAGACCAAAACCACTAAGATGTTAGCTTGCATGAATGCCTTATTGTGCTGTTCCTTAAAAACCGGAATACCCACAATAAGATCGCAGCCTTACAACACACAACACACTGTTGTACTTAATGCAGGATGCATTGCATGCCATGCCAGAGGGGGAAAAAAAGAAAATAACTTACAACTACGTCAGGGCAGAGAAAGGGTTAGCAAAAGAAACCTGCAGGATTGAATCGGTAATTACAATTTGGCTGGAAGGAGCAATCAGGAAGACAATAGTTAGAAGTGAAATCTACATGTTTGAGATCGTGGATATGAGCAATCAATTCAGCTGTGGGACAGCTTGAACTAGATCGCCAGGCAAAGGTTGTTTCTTACTCTTCTAGTGTGTCTCTACTATTGCTTTGGAGAAACTATTTCACGAGAAGAGTACTATACTCCTCTGCTCGCAACAGAAGACCCTACATCACCAGGCTTGAAATTTTGAGCTTGTACAACTTTGAACTACACCACCTATGGTCGGACTTAAGCATAGTACACAAAATTATCTGCTACAATGTCCTACCAGTCAATGACTACTTCAGCTTCAACCGCAACAATACAAGAGCACACAACAGATACAAACTCAATGTAAACCGCTCCAAAGTTGATTGCAGAAAGTATGACTTCAGCCACAGAGTGGTCAATGCCTGGAATGCACTGCCTGACTCTGTTGTTACATCCTCTAATCCCCACTCCTTTGACCTCAAACTAACCACTATTGATCTCACCTCATTCCTAAGAGGTCTGTAAGGAGCGTGCATAAGTTGCACCATCATGCATACCGTCCCTGTCCTATTGTCCCCATTTATTTGTACCTATTTCCTGTATTCTTACTCATGTTTATACTTATACCTATTCTCTTGAAAGCAATTGACAAATCAAATAAATAATAATAAAATAAGGAAGGAAAGAAGGAAGGAAGGAAGGAAGGAAGGAAGGAAGGAAG